TCATACGTTCACTCACCGCAGTCCTCAACCTCACTCACTTGAACCTATGTCCATGCTTCAGCTTCAGTATAAAGTTAGACCCGAGCCTGAATGGAGCTTATGAGACCTGAAGCTGAGGCGGGTGAAGGCATAATGCTTAAAAATGACCTCGATTTCTTACCTTAGCAGACATATCCCTCGAGACGCAATATAGATCAAATGCGATTACCATTGTAATTAAAATCACAACCGGCTTTAATAATCGACCGATCCGTACTCTACCGTAATATAACCCTTTCATTTTACGAACCAACCAACCAAACCAAACCATAACTCAAATCAATTCGTCGAACAATACTTGATGAAGGAAAGCATATCAGATGTGTAATTTATTTATCATAATTTGCAAAGTTTGTCACCTCACAACCGTTTTGAAGGAAATTTGATGATGCAAATTTTGTTGCATCATTAAAAAGCATCCGACCCAGGCAGGACTCGAACCTGCAGTCTTCGCCTCCGGAGGGCGACGCCTTATCCATTAGGCCACAGGGCCTTTATAATTAGCGTGTCAATGCAAGGCTTTTTGAATAACTAATAATTTTTCATGGCTTTTAAATAAGCGCCTCATTTCCATTACTATGTAGATATTTCTATCAGAGAGAGGCATCTATCAGAGAGTATAATTTCACCTGAACAATGCCCTTAACTTGCCGACATTAATACCTTGAAGTACCATATTGTGCCTTACTCTACTATAACGCGAGTTCTAGATTGCGTCGTTAAAAGCAAAATTCTTACGATTCCCTTCTCCAGAAGCAATAATTCCATACAAGTGAAATCCAAGTCAAAATCGAGCTATTGTGCATTCACTCATATCAATATTTGTTTACTTTTAGCTAATCAAAAGAATGAAATGAAAACTTTGCTAACAAATCACCTCCCTAATGCAATAACTTTTCATTGGGTATCAAAAGAATTTAGATACTTTACAGACGATATTTCAAACGGTACCATAATGGATCACCTCTTAAAGAGAGCAATGATTCGAGTTAGTGCCCATCATATATTCAATAATGCTTGCTTTGTTTAACCGATCAAATAAACGCATTCTCAAATGAATATCAGCACAATCAATTCCCAGCCGATGTTACACAAAACCATTAGCAAGAGCAGAATGAAGGCTTAGGCAGCTTAATAGATAATCCATTAACTCTCACTTAAACCTTTCAGTAAATAACAACAACAACGATTTCACTGAAAATTGATTATTCATACAGCAATCTATGAAATCGAATCATCCAAATGAAAAACAAATCGAAACAATCAAAGCCGTGCATAAAAATAAATAAAATCACACGTCAGGTGTTCCATTTTACAACACTCAATTTTGCTCACTATCAAATAACAACATTCAGAAAGTTGCAATCCTCAAATACTTTGCCTCATCTCCAATCAGTTCTCTTATCGCATCCAGCTCAGCTCGTTCAGCTTCGAGTCCAACATGAATTACTACTCACTTTTGCTAGCACCAGATCAGCATGTATCATTACAGCGCAGATCTAAATGAAAATTCTGAATTTTGAAACTTATTTTCCAGCACAAAGTTTGCATCTTCGTCGAAAATGAGATAATTTTCCGTGCGATTCCGTGCCTAATAACAAGTTAATTTTCAGGATAATGAATCAACAATTGATCTTACTGCTCGCGACAATCCCTTTGATTGCATGCGGAGATGCGCCACCCAGAACAACAAGTGCTAAGGGAACATTGCTTTGCGGTGAGAAGCCATATGAGGATGCTCGAGTGCGACTGTATCGAATGAATTCTGAGGGTGCGCTTTCGCAAGGAATTATACAATTTTCATTCCATATATCATTATCTCCGTGAAGTATCAGACCATAAGTATCATAAACATCAAAAAATTCACGGCACTTCTACGCGAGCAATCATACCAAAGTGATAAAAATCCAGAAAATATCCCATAAATGTTGCCGTAGAAGAGGATCCCAGGTGATAATTTCAGAAAAGAGCATTTCGGCAACTAATAATTCGAAAAATTTCTTCCAGACAACAAAGAAATTCTGGACTATAAGGTGACCAGTTCGTCGGGAATGTTCCAAGTGGATGGCAATACCCAAGGACGACCCAAAAACGAGTCAATTATGACACCATTCGTTCGAATCTATCATAAATGTGATGAAAATCCACAGAAAGATGCAAGTTTCTGTTCAAATTCACCTTTGAATCGATTCCTTTTCATTGTCCATTTGAATCAGAATCACCAAAGCCGATAACTTCGTATTCTAACGCCAAATCGCTCGTTAACCAAAATCTGGAAACGAGGATCGGAATTTCGGAACAGTGGAAAGCGCAACTAACATGCCACAATATTTGAGAGAGAAGCGCTTCAGGAAGACAGAAATTTCAAGCAACATTTATTAAACACTCATAATTAGAATAAAGGATCAACTACAGATGTAAGATCAACTTCTCAGCAAAAAATGCGCAGGCGTTCAATGCTATTATGATCAAATGCAATTGCGATGAAATAGATCAGTTGAAAACACTGTAAGGGCAAATTGCAACTCTTATCAGACTCGCGATTGAAGATAGCTCTCTTGCGATTGGTATAGCCATGCGTGAAGATAGCAATCAACTGATGTATCGTCAATTAAGAGAATCGAAAAGTATCAGTGATATATGGAAAAGGATTAAATGGCTTAAATGAATTAAATGGCATAATAATAATTGTATGGAAAGAAAAATCGAACGAAATAATCGAAAAATCAAAACCGTATGATACTATTAGAGTCCAAAAAATACGGATTTAGTCGTTTTTCTGAAGTGTTAGTTGAAATTCAACATAAAGTCTTACAGCATCCGTCTGATGATAACAGCGAAGAAATCAGCTGATCGTTAGCGACATTTTCCTTTCTGGTATCACAGTATAATGAAATCATTCCGTCTAACCGGAACTTTCGAAATATAGCTGGCATTTTGAGGCTTTAAAAAAAAAAAAATCCTCCCCCTCAACTTTCTGAGTTTAGAATAGGAAACTAGGTTAAAGCCGACCAACAGAGTGCAGTAATTCATGCAATTTCAGCGCGGATTCCGACGTTTCCAGATGCAGATTCCGGCAGAATTTGTGTTCAACGGTCGACTCGCAAAACAAGCGTTTAACCTTGGCTCTATGAATCTACAACTGATCTTCCCTGGCGAGACAATGGAGAAACACTTCCAGGAATAGAATGTGTGACAGTATTCACGACGCTTCACCTTTCAGATCAAAACCAAAACGTTTCAAAACAAAACCTTCAGCGTATAACGACGAACAGAAAGCGTCCTTCCACATACTATCCAGTAATGAAAATAATTACCACCAATATGTAATGCCTTATGCGTATTTGTCTGTGACAATAACAAAACAATAGCAATCAATGAATGAATAAACACTCATTAATGAACTGATCCACAACAAATCATGAATTGATCCATCATGAATTGATCAACCAATGAATTGATCCATCATCACACGCAATGAATCGTTTCCCTATTGTATTCACATCCCAACGAAATAGTCTCCAATTGCATTCATTCACAATCGAATTTGCGACCGACCAATAATGCTTGCAGTTGCCACAGTAAAAATATATGTTCGGTGGATATGCAGTGGAAGCTTAATATAGTATTTATTACTCAGCTCTCAATATTATTCTTGACAATAACAACAATCGGTCAACTTGGCCTAGAATATCTTCACACAATATTCAGTTCACAATAATCAGCAGCAATGATGAATCACAATAGTTTCACAATATGAATGACNTCATTGAATGTACTTTCTCATAACATTTTGTTGTTGATCAGCCTCTGCTCGTGGGAATCTTTTGCCCGTAAGGTTTGAATTAAAGATATCAAGTACTTTGTTTGGGTTATATTTCAAATTCAATAGATTTAGATTTTATGTTTTGAGAATGAGATGCTTGACTTGGTTACACCATTAAACAAATCACCAATTTCTATATTACAATATCATATTTCCTTAACACTCTGCATTCTTTTATTCTACCAAAAAGTGCATATGTTATCCGATAACTCTAGCGTACGTTCAGAGGTGCTTCCAGTTCAGACACGACCAATTGATAAATCCATATGTAATCGCTAATCTTATATACTACTACCAGTTGCTATCAATCGGTTTTCCGCATAACATAAAGATTTCCGGATTCTTGGACGTTGCGTGTATCATCCCTCAGTGTAAAACGAGTGCATACAAACATGAATAATGAGAATATTTTTACTGAATTCACTTCATTTGACCACAAAAATATTCACTATTCATTCATTTACAAGGAAAACGAAATGAAAACATTTCCAAACTTCAAAAACTCCAATCAAAAACGTCAGAAATGAGACAGTCGTAAAATTTGAACAAACATCAATGCAACGTAACGCAAAACGCAATGCAATATGTAAATGTCGACAATAGAAATGTAACATATTGTATGTATAATTTCAAATCAATCTGAACGAACAAAACTTGAAATTCGACAGAATATGAAAATCAAAACCGAAAAATTCGATCGCCAATGAATCCAAACAGGTAAAGAATAAACGATCAATTAGTAACAAGAAGCATAATAATCAGACAACTCTCCAATCTCATTACACCATTCAACATATTCAAACGTACCTGAACAAACTCTTATCGCATATCACACTTGAACTTCCTTGTCAACCCATCGAACGAACCCATTATGACGAATCACTCAAATCCTAAGTAAACTTACTTACATGCCCACGATTCTTTCAATCGAGAACCAATGCCATATAGCAGACAACCGAAAAAAACCACAGTACAAAAAGCAATCGCACTCTACCATTTAGCACCGTTATCGCGGCAAAAGCACTTATCAATTTATTTCCTCATTCTCACTTAATCACTTCCAATTTCCGCGGATAAAAACCTACATAAAATCTTACTCACTAGCACATTACACTGTTCTCACCAAAATAAAACATAAAAATTATGGTTACATAAAATTATTTTAATTATACACCAACCGGAAACAAATACGTTACTATACATAAACTCTAAGTTAAACAATACGTAAGAAAGTAACTGAAATGAAACAAAACATATATCAGTAATTTCTAGTAAATAGAAATTGTATGATAGCAATAAACCAGTCAGTATGTACCTTATAAGAGGCAAACAACAAAACCTTGAGCCACATTAATCAACTGATGAATGAATATAAACGAATACCACCGGATAGTTTGGTAATAATAATGACGATAATAATAACAAACTAAAAACCATAGAATTTGGCTTAATCAACTGAATAAAATCGTCAATTACTACGAGACAACCACTCACTGGAAGTGTTACTATTCAAGTGAATTAACTCAAATGTTCCACGATAACGAAAAACACATCACGATCTTTTTTCATCAATTCATACAATACTCCATTTGTTCATATATACTAACATACCGCTTTAAAAGGGCACCTTATTGAAAAAGATAACTGAAAAATGCAA